AAATCTCCATATTACACAAATATTACTTTCTCTTCTTTACAATGGAAACAACATTGGTGTGATCTTTTTAGAGATGAAATGGTTATACATAAAGATGCTAATCCATTATCTCCAATATTCCAAACTATCCCAATTTCTTCTATTAGTAAAGTTACATGTGATACTATGGATCCATCAATCTTTATTCTTTCTATGTGGAATGGAAGTCATACTGTTAAATATACAATGAGAAGTAATCAACGACAATCTTGGGTATCATATTTTGAAGTATTATTGCAAGAAAATAATACATTAGTTAAATCAAATAAAAAGCAATCTTTCTTTGAAATTATGCAACGTAAATTTACTTGTAAAGCAACAATGTCTGATAGTCAAACTTTTCTTAATCTTCCAAGAAATCTTCCACAACGAATTGTTTATGTTTTTAATTGGCCTTTATTAGTAATTTTAGCTTATACTATTCCTGATGTCAAAATTAAAACTTGTGCTCGAATGACACCAGTTACCATATTAATTTCTTTATTGTATATTGGTGTTTTTGCTTTTGTTGGAGTATTTTGTGGCTATCGTTTAAGTGAAGTAATTACTTGTCCACCAGATGTTTTAGGATTTACATTTGTAGCACTCTTCTTATCAATCCGTCATATTATATCTGGTTGGGTTAGTGGAAGAATGATGTGTGCTAATTTAGCTATTCTCAATTCTTATTCTATGTCATTATTCTTTACAAATGTTGCCATTGTCATTCCATGGATGATTTATTATTACGCTAAAATTGTTCATAATGATAATACTATTTACGAACAAAACCATTTTACTTCATATTCTCTTGAATTTGTAGTCGCAGGAGAAATTTTCGTTTCAATTTGTCATTTGTTCTCAACTATTGGGTTCAAAAATCTTACCATCAGTCATGCATTTGGTATTTTCTTAATTCTTTGTTATATTATTGTTTTCACTGCTACGTTAATGACTTGGATTGGTGCTGCTGTTAAAAATTGAAATGTTAGTTTATTCTTCTCTTTTATTCTTTCATAAAATACACCTTAAAAGTATTTTTTTTATGTGTTAAAAGTAGAAGACATAATTTTAGGGGTGGGAATATTTCGAGATTAGTTAAAAGAAAAAAAAACATCATAATAATAAATAGAATAAATTAACATTCTAAAGAATAAAACAAGTAAATTAATCATTCTTAACAAAGAGTAAATACCACCATTTCATAACATATTTTAATTGTATTAAAGTTTACTAATTTAATAAATCTTTAAAAACTTTAATTCATAAAAAGTAATGAATATTGAAATTAATAATTATTCATTTATTAATTTAATAAACTAAAGATAATTAAATTTTTTTCCAAATTAAAAAAAAAATAATAATAATTTTATTATTAATATCAAATTTTTATTTTTAATACTCTTCATTTTGAATTAACTTAAACTGAAAAGGTTATAACCAAGAAGAAAGGCTGGATGTGATAGAGTTTATTTGAAGGACAAGTGTAAAATTTGATGATAGCAAACACTGATTTTAGTCCCAATCTTTTGGGTTGTAACCCCATTTTTCCCATTTTTTAGAACAAAAACTTTGCATATCTGAGTCATGACACAAAGCCCCAATCATACAACTTGTTGTGTCAGGCATATGACAACTAACAGGATCATCATAACAAGGAATTTTGATTTGTTGACCAGTTCCTTCACCTAAAACAGATACAGGATCCCTCTCTGAAAAAAGTGACCTACTAAGAACACTCAAACGCTCTTTAGACATATTGAAGTTATGTTTTGCAAGTGACATTCCAGGTGGAGAAAGAAGGAAATGTTCAATATTTAATTCTGTACCAACAATTTGGGCTATTCCAGCTCCAAGAGAATGACCACTTAATACTAACTGACTATAATTATGAACATTCATTTCATTAATAACAAGATTTCTTGCCATTGTAATAAGATTAAATGAACCTTTTGTGAATGCGTTAGAACCAAAATATGAAATTAGATAACTCACCCATGATAAGGTATCATCAGTGAACATTGGTAATAATGTTGAACACATTTTAGGAACTGATGATTCAAGGAATAATTGCATGTCATGAAGAACCTCTTGAGTAGCATGAGTTCCTCTTAATGAAATAAGTTTTACATTTGTTTTTTGGTTTGTTGCTTGAAGATAATATAACCAATGATTAACATTCTTCAACTCCATTACCCATCCTCTACTGCGTAAAAAATTTATGACATAACTAGGTGCTCCATATGCAATATAGGATAATAACGTATATTCCTTTGGAGTAATTCCAAATGTATCTTCAGTGCATAGATGAGAATATTCTTGAGGAGTTGTATGTTTTAGTTTAAAAGAATAATTTTCTGATGGTGATTGTGTAAAATTCATGTCAACAGGATCTAATACTCCAGGTTGTAATTTAGCCATTGAACGAACAGACCTTGTTCCAAATATTGTGAAAGACAAAAATACAAGTGTAAAAAAGAAAATCAATGGAAACGATGTTTTCCAATGAAATCCAAAAATTCTCATTCTTAATGAATCAATAAGTACAAAAAGATTTACCTCACTACTTTTATTTACTTCTTCATCTTCTTCTAAAGGGACTGAGAGTTGAACATTTTCATTATTTTGTATTTCATCTTTATAACATTCACCTTCAGTTTTTAATACTTTATTGGAAACTAATTCAATTTCACTTGAATATTCACCATGAGGAGAAATACATTCTTTAGGTTGAAGACTTATAGAATTGTCAAAGGAATTTTGTTTAATTACAACATGTTCTTCATTACCATTTTTTTGTTTTTTTCTTAAATAAGAAATTATTGGAGCTAATTGACCAATTAATGTAATAATACTTAGTATCCAATATCCTAACAAATTACCATTTGACATTTTTACATCAACTGTTGTGAAAATGAGAGCAATAAAGAAAAGAATAAAACATCCTGTTAATAATATAACATGACAAATTGCAATAAATTGTTGAAACTTTTTTGAATATTTTTGAAATAATTTTTGCTGAATCGAATAAACAAAACTTAATGGGAAAAATAAGGGTAATAACTCAATCCATGGAATTGACCCCAATGTTTTATATGTTTTGATTAATTCAATAATAAGATCAACAATAATTGAACAAATAAAATAAAAAAGAAGAAATCCACACCCACCAAAAATATATGCAGTTCCAATAGCATTTTCTGGTCTTGTATTTTCATGTTTATTAGCATAAATAAGACCACTAACAATAGTTAAAATAACAACACATCCAAAAAATGAAATGTGATCAGTTAATATATAAATAAATTTTATAATTTTATTTCTCCATGAATTCGATGAAATTTGGTCTAGTATTAAAGAACTTTGATACTCTACATTATTATGTGATAAATATTTATTTTTCCATTTATAAAATCGGACAATAACTCTTCCAATATCATCTAATGCAAATACAAAATAATTATATAACCATGAAAATAATAATATAGAATTATAAATCATTAATACAGCATAAAACCATATTTGAAGTTGATACACTGTAGAAATAAGAAACATTAAACAAATGAAAATGTATAAAACACATGAAAAGACAAATAATTGAATCTTACATATAATTGATCCAACTTTCATCAAACAATTAATAGAAAGAATTAACCTTTTTGCCTTTTCCTTCCAATTTATCATTTTCTTTTTTTTAGTTCATTGTTTCAATAGTTTCTTTAATAAATGAAAATCTTATCTCAACTAAAAACCTCGTTCTTTCTTTAAAAAAAGGAAGCTTCTATTCTTACTTTTTTGTTTTTATTGTTTCATTTTTTTTTAATTTTGTGATTCACTCAGATTTTACTCTCAAAAACCAATCGTTTATCTAAATTTGTAAATATTTAAAGTAAAGACTCAACTCATTAATCCAATTATCTGTCGTCATCTAAAACCAAAAAAAGATGTTATAAGTATTAAATTATTGTTAGAGGATATGAAATGAACAGAACATCTTAAGAACTAAAAAAGAAGAAATAAAATGAATAATGTTATATATAACATACAAAAGAAAAAAAAAATTAAAAACTTCAATAAAAAAGGAAAATATGAAAAGAATAAAAAACAAAAGAACTAAGAAAATCCAAAAGAAAACATGGGAGATGATATTTCATATTATAGTGGAGGAGCTGTTGTTGGAATGGCAGGAAAAGGATGTGTTGCGATCGCTGCAGATAATCGATATGGATTGAAATATCAATTTGCATCAGCCAATTTTCATAAAGTATTTCAAGTAAATAAATATTGTTTATTTGGAGGAGCAGGATTATTTTCTGATGTACAAACAATGTTTGTTTTGTTTAATGTTTTAAATAACTTAATCAAAAAAGAAATGAAAATAAATAATCCAGGGCTGAAAAAGTCAAATATCATGCAAATTTATATCGACTAAGAGAAGGACATGACATCGGACCAGAACAATTATTAAATTCAACTGCTCATATGTTATATAAAAAAAGATTCCAACCATATTATATGTCACCTATTATAGCTGGTATTGATGATAATGGAAATTCTTATGTATGCAGTTATGATTATATTGGTTCTCCTGAAATTTCACAAGTTGGTTGTGTTGGTACAGGAAGTAATGAACTAATGGGAATGTGTGATTCTTTCTATAAAGAAGGCATGGAACCAGAAGAATTAGTAGAAGCTGTTGGTCAATGTCTTCTTGCAGCAGAAAATAGAGATGCATTTTCTGGATGGGGTGTAGAAGTTTATTTATTAACTCGTGATAATTTGACAATTTACAATATGAAACCAAGACAAGACTAATTCCATTTTTTAATTGTTATTATATTTAATTGTGTTTTATATATCATTATTATTTGAGGTATTAGTTATTTATAAGAACTTGATTTTTTAAAAACTTCATACTTGGAATTATGCAATTCATTTCTCTTGATTATCAAAAAAATAAGATTCATCTCAACTTTCAAAAAATGATTGATACCTTTGAACTTATGAACCAAATGATCAGTCAAATGCAACAGAAAATTTTTGTCTTAGAACAACAAATAAAAGAAAAAGAAAAGAATGACCAAATAATAAAGAATGAGTTAAATCATTTTAAACTTCTTTTACAAGAAAATATACAATACAAAAGTAAAGAACATGAAAATACCCAATCTAATTTGATGACACCTAAAGAATCTTTGAATCAAACTCTAATAACGTCTGCTTTAACTAATTCTCAAATACCTACTAAAGAAGATATTATAAAAGAAGAAGGCTCTGATACAACAACTAATCTCTCACAATCTCCTCTTCTAACTAATGTTAAGAATAAATGCTTTATTTGTGGTGAAGTAATAGACTCTGAACAATTTTCTTCTCACTTTCTACATCATCAACAATCAATACCTCCTCAACCAGTCACATGTTTTGCAAAGCCATTAATTCCAATTTCTTCAATTAACCCAAACATTAAACCTTCTCATCAAAACGCTTCGAGTTCATCTGGTCAATTAACCCCTATTGTTTTATCTCCTCAAACTTCTTCAAAATTTCCTTGTCCTTTATGTGGTGTTAATTTAACGACTAATGACCTTTTAATAAAACATATTGAAGCTGCACATTACAAACTTTTAAAATAATTGGTTGTTATTAATAACAATTTTCAGTATTTTTTAATTTTTTATCTTTTCTTAAAGAGAAAATATTGCTCTCTTCAATAGATTCAGAATTACTTAGATTGTAAAAACTTGTTTGTCTTTTTTTAATTAATCCTACAACAAAAAAATCTCAAAAAATAAATCTTGGATAGAAATATGAGTGGTGTTCAACCGACAGAAACCGAAATGCAATTAAATGACAACCAACTCCAACCACAACCAACACAAAAAAGTCAATTAAATGTATTGGATCCTAATGAACTTATGAAACCATTACTTGCTAGCATTTCTCCTATTGGATTATGCTTAATTTATCTTGGTTTCCTTGCACTTGTAGGAATATCTCTTGGACTATCATCTATTGCTCCATCAATGTACGTACAAGAAAGTGTTGGTACATGGCAATGTAATAATAATACTATTTCTTCATTTGATGCAAATAATTGTACTGGTCAAAATTTAATGAACAACGCACAAATTAAAGGTCCTTTGGGCACTTATAAAATAGGCCCATTTTCTATATTAAATAGAGAGTTTACGTTGAGTGGTAAATTTAAAAATAACTTAAAGTATGGATATTGTTTGTTATTATTTTGTATAAATTATTATTAGAAGAAATAATAATTAACTTATTTAGTTAAAAAACAAATTTTTGCTGAAGTAGGTGTTTATACACCACCAAAAAATACTGGTGATAAACCTCTAGTAATAGAAGAAAAGACAAGAGAATTTATGGTAGAATGTTTAAGTGGAGAAGATTATTGTAACTCATTACCTATTTATGAAGAATCATTTACAAATAATCCAGAGTATCTAATTAGTATTCAATTTATAAGTAGTAAATTTAATGAAACTGATGTAGGAGAATTTGTATTAGAATTATCAGCAATATCAAGTCATTATACACTTTTTGAATTATGTTGGAAATTTGTATTTATTTTCTATTCATGTATTATTGTTATTATTTACTTATTCATATTTAGAAGTTTTATATTTAAAACTTGGATTTTTGAAGTTAAATGGACATTTGTTTTATTAATTATTTTAGTAATACAAAACAATCCTATTTATTCTTATCAATATACACTTGATACTTTTATTCCAGAATTTATTAATGTAACAGTTTATTCACTATTCTACGTCTTCTTATTGTTTTATGTATTAATTACTTTTGAATTTTATAGGTATGGCAAAGGTACCAAACAAATAAAATATTGGGTTCCTCGAATAATATTCTTTGTGTTCTTCTTTGCTGCTGTTGAATTAGTTTTTATTTATAATAAAAGTGTTGGTTTATCAGACCCTTATTATAATCCTTTAAAAGATATTGCTAGTTTAGTAATGGCAGTGATTGCATTAGTCTTTGTTATTGCATATATTTTCTGGCTTATTTATATTTTAGTTAGAAGTTTTAGTGATGGAATTAAATTAGGTAAAACAAAAAGAAAACTTCGTCTATTTGGTGTACTTACTATGATATCAATGATGTTATTTTTTATGATGCTTGCTCTCTCATTCTTCTTTGGCAACCAACAAACACTTTCTATTTCTTTAACAACAACAGCATTTGTCAATTTCTTCTGCACCCTATTAATTGTGATTAATATCCCTCATCAAGGAGAAGAAAGTGCAATTTGGTCTGAAGAACGTTTCAAAGTTATTGCTGTTGATGACTTAGCAGTTTATAAACAACTACCAGATGATGTTATTTCCGAATTACCTTATAATGGTAATGATGAGGAACATTTTTCTACCTTAGAACACCCACAACAAAATAGACCAAATCATTCAAATGAAGCTGTGTTGTATGATGGTTCTGAAGCAATAGAACTTTAATTCATTTTTATCCTTATTGATTGTCATCTTTCTATAAAAATTAAATGGTTCTAATATTATAATAAAATATTATTCTTTTAATTCATTGATACCCAGAACTACAAAACTTTAAAAGTGAGTAATATGAACTGTATTTTCTTTATATTTATTGTATTAAATTTTGTGAGTGCAGAAGAATCATTCTTTGGACCTCATCAACTTCGAGAACATACATATTCATATGATCCTATTTTTGAAAATACTTTCATTTCATTCAATTATGCACTTGTTGTGTTTATCCTTCCATTAGTCATTCTTTTCATTTCTGTTTGTCATTTTTTATCCTTGTTGTATACAAGTATTTAAAAGTCTAGTTATTATTCTTTTGTAATGTTAATGGATTGTTCAGTGGTAAAGGAATTTTATCATTATTATTCATTGGAAGTGCTATTGGATTTGTTGGGTTTGTTGTTTACAGTTGGATTTACCTTTCCTTCTTTGAAATGCTTGCGTTTGGAGTAGTGATTGTTCCAGTAGTACTTCTTCTTGCTTATCTTGTTTCTGCTTGATTCATTTTAAATACACTCTTTTTCTTGTCCTTTCAGTTTATTTTTAAGAGAAAGAAGAAAAAAACAAAAAATAGTTAAACAAACTATAAAATTAATATATTCTTATGGTTGTTTGTTGATTGTTCTTTTTCAAATAAAAGAATAAATTCTTAAGTTATAAATTAGCTTCCAATCAATTTATTAGAGAATTCTCAAGGGACGTCTGTGACATTAGAACTTAAAAATGGATTTAAATATACTGGAATTCTCGATCGTTGTGATCGTATGATGAATATTCATCTCAAAAATGCTATTTTGATTAAGCCAAGTGGTGACCGTTTTAGTGTTTCAAAATTAATTGTCAAAGGAATAAGTATTCGTTGTTTCTCTGTTGATGAATCGTTGTTAAAAAAGAATGAAAAATAATTAATTTCTTAAAGAAAAACACAAATTTATTTTGTTAAAATAACAATTTATAAAAAAAAAGAAAACTTAAATAATAATTAGAAATAAATGAAATTCATTGAATATCTCTATGAAATAATTTATATTCTAATGATTAATTTGGTTGTAAAAAGAGTTTATTTCAGAGAAAAGAAATAAATCCAGATGCCAACCATACATATTAAAATTTTTTAAAGAAAATACTTAATTCTTTATTTTCATATAATAGAAAATAGATATTAAACATATAATTTCTTTTTTATTATTGAGGTGGTAGTGTTGGTTTTTCAATTTAGGTAATTAATATTTTTATTGCCTTGAATAAATTGTTAAATACGTCAGACTTGATTTCTTTGAATGGCGTTTATGTGATTAAATTAAATTAAACTTTTTTTTATTTTTATCTAATGGTTTTTATGATTTATTTTTCTATATGATTTGTTCAACTTTGAAATGAATAACTTTAATACAACTAATAATATTATCAGTCAAATTGAAAAAAAAACAAATAACAAGTACAAAATATATTAATTATGGCATTATTTTGGATACATAACTTTTTTTAATTGAGCCTTCTTATATAAAAAAGTATATTTATTATTGTTTATGTGTAATATTTATTTATAAATCAAATTCATAACTTATTGTTTATATGTTAAATAAAAAATACCCAATCAAAATAGATGTCTAATATTTCTTTATTAACTCTAGATATTTTCTTAAAGAATTAGATTACAGTTACATAAATGTTTTTGTTTGAATTATTTTTAATGAAAATTCTTAAACATCTCTTTATCTATAATGGAATAAAGTTATAATTATTGGTTTAATATTTGATTTTTTACAAAGAGACTATGATGTGTTGTTATTTTGAATTGTGTTTTTGTGATTTTTAACATAATAATTTAATACACAAAGTTAGTAAAAGATAATTTAAGATTAATTCAATAATTTAAATGTTATTTTATATTTATTGTTTATAAATTCTACCATTTAACAACACATTATATAATACTAAAAGTCCAGAATTAAAAAAATTAATTGGTATTTATTAAAGTGTTTAGGAATAGTTGTAGTTAATTAAAAATAACTAATTAAGTAAAGAAGTTATTAAAAACTTTATCTTATTGAATGAAACATACAGTTATTTTTGGTTTAAAAATAATAATTTCACTAATATACTGAAGAGACTATTTTTCTGGATTAACCACATTCAAATTAAAACCAAGATATAATACTACTTTGGTAAAAATAGTTTTCATTCATATTGAAAAAGATTATTAAATAAAGAGACACAACTTTCATATTTTGAAATATTAAAAAACAAAAAAAATTAAAACTAAAAAAAATAATGGAATTTCACACAAATTTTCCATCACATTTAATTTATACAAAATTACCATGTACTCCATTAAGTATTACATGTAATGAAGATTGTACTGAAGCATATATTTGTGATGAGTTGGGAACATTATTAATATTTGATATTACAAATCAAAAAGTATTATATAGAACGCAACTTCCTGATGGTGCGGTTCAACTTCAAATATCACCCAAAGGAGAATACCTTTTTGTGTTATGTTTTAATTCAGTAAGAAATAGAATATTATATATTTATCGAGTTATTCGTCCATTTAGATTAATTGAAATTGATGTAATACCAAATATATTTGCGATTGCATTACTAAGTGATTGTTCAACATCACCAATTGATTTTGCAGCATTATGTGATGATTTTGAATCAGTGACTCGATATTATTATGGAAATACAGCAAATAAATCATATGAAATTGTTAGTCAAAAACGTCTTCCTTTTAAAGCACGATACTTTATTTCAAATTCAAATTATTCACAAATTTGTGCTGCTTCATTAAAAGAGTTAATGATATTATCATCTAATTTAATAACAATTAAGAAAGAGGATTTACCTTATATTGTTGCAGGAGTTGCGTTTTCAGGAAATGAATTATTTACACTAGCTGGTTGCTCTTTAAAATGTCTTGAAGATGAAAAACGAGATATTTTTTTACCATTTGGAATGCCAATGGTAGTCCAATCACATAAAATACATATTGTCGCTGCTGATAGAAATAAACTTTATGGAATTGATACAAAAAGTGGTAAAATTTATTTTGCTACTCACCTTCCTGATAAAGTCCTTATTCGTAGTGTTCATACTAATGAAAAAATGTCAACTTTTGCTATCCAATTAACAGGACAACCTGTGCTTATTTCTATTATTTCTACTGAGGCAATTCGTAGTCGTGCTGGGCTTTTAAACCCAATAGAATTAAAAGAAACAATTAAACTTGTATTTAGTAATATTCCTGAAACTGAATTATTCCGTGCTATTGCTGAAGCACCAGTTTCTGTTCCAACGTCAAGTTTTTCTGTTTACGTTGGTAATTTTAATGAAATTTCAGCTGATGATGTTAAAGAAGTATTTCAACAAAACTTTGGTGGTGTTATTAAAGTTCGTCCTAAAACTGGTCATTGTTTTGTTGATTTTAAAGATGACACTTCAATGAGAAATGCTCTTAGTAAAGAAAAAATCTCTGTTAAAGGTCATGATGTATTTATCAAAGTAGCTCAAAAAAATGCCAATGCTAAGAGATAATTTATTTTTTATTATTTTAGTTTTGAGTCATTATTATTGTTCGTTCTTCCTTTTTACTTCAATTTCTTCTTATTTTTGGTTAATTACAAGTTTTTTTCATTTCTCTTTCATTTATTTCTGTTGTAGTTAATAGTAATTACTTCTTAGCAGAGGTTTTAATTATTAAAATAAATTATATTTTAGTGTAGTAGATATAACTAATGAATTGTTCATATCAATTAAAACTTTTTATTATCCACTAAATTAGAATTAAAATAAATACAAATTATCAGATGACTGTAAATTTGACGTTTATTTCTTATATAAGATAAACAAACAATTTTATAAGTGATATAATTCAATATTATTTTTATTATAGTGTTTTGTTAATAATTGTTTCTATGATAGAACAATAACCGTAATTGGATGCAACTGAGAATAAATAATTAATTTTATTTGTTTATAGTTATTAACTTTTGAATGAAAAATGTGTAACACTTATTTTTTATTTAATTTATTATTCTTTTTTTCAATAAAATATTATTCAATTTAATTTCATATTAACAATTTTATTACTTATTTCAAATAACGAATATATGTCTTATTCTATTTTTGTCGTTATATTTAAATATTATTTAAAATCTTTCACTCTTTGTTTCTTTTTCTCCTTCTTCTTAATTTATCAAAGTTCCATGGTTAATTATTATGTTAAATTTTTTATGTAGTGAGACATTTTATTAATTATGATTATTCAAAGTTTTTCAATACTTAATGTTCTGAACTGTTATACTTCTTTTCATTTTTATAATTATTCAATATACAATCAATTTATTGATAATTAAATTATTCTATATATTAACCAATTACCATTATTGTATTATGCTTTTTTTAATTATACTACAATTCTTAATAAAATACTTTTATTTTTAAGATATGCATTCATTTATTTCTGTTTTAGTTGTTTCTTTTGATTATCCATTATTCTCTTTTCTTATTAATGGTTATTTTTATTAAACTTATTCGATTTATAGGATTCGGTATCTATTATTTTTCTAATTTGTTTATTTCATTTGTTTATTTTATTACTTTGATCAATACTTTCGACTTGATCATTATATATTGAGACTAATTGTTTTTTATAATAAAAATATGATATAAATTGACATATATAATCCATCTTGATTCAATGATGTATGTTTTTGTATTAAAAAATAAATTTATGTTATTTTTCTTTAATTATTTTGTTTATTATTATAATAAATCAAATTGTTTCATTAATATTTTATGTCTATTCTATCACTTCTTTTGATTTGAAACAATAATTAAATCGAATTATTAATGAATAATTTAATATAATAATTTTTATTTATAAATACAATAACATAATTACATATAGGAATTATTTATTATCAATATTACGGATTGATTATTTAACAAATCAAATATTGTTTCTATACTTTGTGTTAGTCATTTTTCATTTATATTCTTTACTAATTCAATTTTTATTTATCACTTTTTGTTTACTTAGTTTTATATTTCCACGCTTTCTATGTTTATTATTTTATTTTTATTTGTATCTGATAATTACATAATGATTGTTGTATAATAAAATACTTTGTAGTGTTGAAATGATAATTAAAATATTAAAATAATGAAAGAAATAATATTGTTGATTTCTTTTAATTATTAATGAAAATAAATATACAGGAAGTGTGTTAGTTCTAATATGTTTTTGATATTAACCTAAAGTTGATTGAATAATTATACAACATTTTCACTAGTAGTTCTTTTATTTTATTGTTTATCTTATTAATAATTCCTTTATACCTTTTAGTATTATTTTGTTCATATTAAATCAAATATTTTAATAAAGGCAAAACAGTAACAATAAAATGCATTTCACTTATTAAAACGAATATTGTTTTACATCATTATTTTAGTGTCATATAAAAATAATCTTCTTTTTGAAATAGCAAGAAAAGTAAACTAATTGAGTTGTAATAAAATAGCAGTTTTCATGCTAATTATAAAACTCATTTCAATGATAGTGTTAGTCAGAATAAATTATCTTTCTCTTTATCTCCAACTCATATTTTATTATAAAATTATTTAATTCATTTTAGGTTTAAATCAATGGTTTTTAAAACTGTCATGGCAAAAGATTATCGTAAATTTTGATTGATTAAAAATAGTTGAATTTACATCAACTTTTTTTATGTTCATGTTTTCATTGATACTATTGCTTCTATTCATATAGACGAATCATTCTTTATTTTTGTTATATTGATTATTTTATGTTAGAATAAGTTAATATAAATTTTATTTAATTCAATTAATAAATCAATCATTTATTTTTGATAAGATTAATTTCGTTTTGTATTAATTG